TGGAGACATTATGATTTGTAGTATTTTTGTTTGTTTTTTTAGCATTCTATTGGAATTTTCATCTTGGAAAGGGCTACAATTAATTGAATTAATTTTCTAGATGAAGAAACTTAGGGTAGTCTTACATCTTCCCACCTACCACTGAGTTCCTTAGTTCTCTGAATTTATTGGTTAAGAGAAATGTGATGCTCCATTTTCTTTGGAATATGCAATATTTTAGTTTCATGGAAATCATCTCTGTTTATCATTATTTTCCTTCCTATTTTTCTCATAAATTTAGAGGTTGGCTATGAGCCTTTTAGAATGTTCTCAGCTATTTCCTTCAGTTTACTTTTCATTCATATTTTTATTACCTGCTGCTTGCAGAGCACTTTATTAGGCACTAGAGATAGTTATAAAGAAGGGGGAATGATTATTGCCCTGAAGAAATCTACAGTCTTAAAGAGTAATTGAAAAATTCCAAAATAAACATATAAACCCAAGTTAATGAAGCATGAATAGTTCAACTGAACAGCAAAATATAGTTTTAGAAGTTTTAAAGCTTCCAGATAAAGCAATAGTGAGTTGGTGGAATAGTCTGTGAATGCTGGATAGGAGTTAACATGAAAATGGTCATTTTATTTGGGGGAAGCAAAGGGATCTTTGGTCTTCCTTGGGTAGAGGGACATGTAAAGGTATATTTTTAAATCGGGGATTGGGATGGAGCCACACTGTGCTGAGGCATGTGAACAAGGAGAATAGAAGACCGGGCTCATGTAAATGTATTGAGAAAGAGCTTTGTTTTTCCAGGTTGTGGCTTATGATACCAAATAAAGGGACTCCAGTAAGGTGAAAGAATGCAAAGACACCTCTTACTATCCTTTTGTGAGTTTGTCAGCAGTGAACATATAAGGATTGGAGTTTTGTCTATATCAATACTATGCAGGATAATGAGTATGGCATTAAAAATGGCAGAATCATGGAGAGGGTGTCCAGTAATTCTTGGAAGGTCCATAGAACAAGGTTGTGGATACCATTTATTTCCTCAGAAATTTATATCCCAGTGCAAGATGTACAGAGTAAATTTTAAATCCTCACAAGGAAATGAAAATGAGTTTAGATATATTATACTCAGACTTAGTGGAATGAAGGATGTACCTTGGTCCTTCCCTAGTGAGAGAAGTTTAGACAACACTTCATGGTAATTTGCAAAATTAAGAGTGGAAGCGTGATTTGTAAGGGTGCTCCAATAAATTTCAGTAATTCATTGATTTCAATTGTGGTCATTGTAACCATTGACCCATTTTGACCAGAGAAATGATCAATTAAGTTTGTGTTAGAAAAATATTTACCTGACTACATATGTTAGAATGAGGGATGGATTAGAGATAGATAAACAAGCTAGATGTCTAATTTAAGTAATAAGAGAATGTAGACATTGATGACAAAAAAAGCAATGGTAATTAAAAACTTATCAATCAATGCCATCAATATGTTATTAGTTAAAATGCATAAAATTGGAGTGAGGACTGGTGGGGTGCATCTGTTTCCTCTGAGCACCATTCATTTACTGATAATGGGTATGCCACACTTAAAGTGCTATTAGCAGTTCTGGAAACCACACTTTGACATATTGATCAAATGAATATATACTAATGAAACTGACCAAGATAAGCACATAACTCAGAGCCATTGCATGAGAAATGGCTGTGATGTTTAGCTTTGAGATGAATAAGTTCAATAGATACATGGTTATCATCCTAGTATTCAAAATTAGGAACTGCTCTCTTCTGGAAGAAAAATTAGTTGTGTGCCTGTGTATTTCCACATCCTAGGATCAGGACTAAAGAGTGGCATCTACAGAGAGGAAGGCTTTGGCTCCTTTGGGGAAAAACACTTTCAAATTATTTGAGTTTCTTGCCAATGGAATGAATTGTTTTGTGAGGTAGTGAGTTTCTCTTTATTGCAGGAATTCAAACATTGGGCTACAACTTGGTGGGAATTTTTCACAATATTGAAGTTTTGGTTGATTGTGAAAAATGTTGTACAGATATTTGTAAGGTCCAGAGAATATTGAGTTTATGATTTTAGGTAGTGACAGTGGGAACAGAATGCAAAGAATCTGCCCTTCTTCCCTGGTTCCCTCCTCCCCACCTTATCCCTCTCTTCCTCTCTCCTCCTTTTTTCTCCCTTCCATTCCTCTCTCCTCTCCTACTTCCTTTCTCTCTCTTTGTCTCTTCCTCCCTCCTCTTTCTCCTTTCCTGGCCTTCTAACTTCCCTTTCCCCTGACTGCCTTTCTTTCTTCTCTCTTACAAAATAGAAACTTAACTAAGTTCTGGGAATACAGTGAGGAACAAAGAAGACAAAAACCCCACCCTTATGGAAGTTTCAGTTTTTTGGAGCTACAAAATGTTATCAACTCTGATAAATGCCAGGGAAGAACAAATAGGCATCTGGAAATATGAAGGGGATCTACTTTGGGAAAATTGGGGGAATTTGTGAGGAGGGGGAACTTTTCAAAGAATCTATTGGACATGGTAAATGATTTGGTGAAGTCACTTAGAATAAAAGAAGAAATTATAAAGTGTGAAAAATTTGGAGCTTCAACTAGAAAGAATGATATACTTGAAAGAAACAGAGAAAATAGGGAGAAGAGTTGGTTGGCTTTTAAATGAAAATGTTTAGGTTGCTTTTGACTCTTGAATATGAAATGTTGATGGATCTGGTTTTCATTGGTTGCTTTTGGACATGTAGGTTGATAATGGTATGAGTGCTTCTTTGTTATAAAGGAAATTCACCTATAGCTTGGTAACCTTGACTTTTTTATTTTACCACAGCATCATTATAAATTTTAATCCTCTACTGGCATTTATTTCAGATCGAAATGTAAAAACTCACAGATTTTTATCTTTCAAAATTACCAGAAAGAACTGGAATTTAATTTTATTGATAAAATAAAATTGAATTATATAAAAGGGTTCAATAGAAACAACAGCATTTCTTGTAGCATTAAATGCTACATAATGAGTTAGTTTGAGATTCAATCTGTGGGGTTGTAATTATTGTCTATGTATTTTTTTCCTGAGATTTACATCTAAACTAAAATTTGAATGATGAAAATATTGTACGTAAAAATTGAGTCCGTTTTCTCCACATTATCAATAACATTAATTTTTAAAATATATATTTTTATTGATATTAGAGAGAAGGGGAGAGAGAAAGAGAGAGAGAGAGAGAGAGAGAGAGAGAGAGAGAGAGAGAGAGAAACATCAATGACAAGAGAGAATCAATGATTGGTTGCCTCTTGCATGCCCCCTACTGCAGATTGAGCCTGCAACCTAGGCATGTGCCCTGACCAGGAATCGAACAGTGACCTCCTGATTCATAGGTCGATGCTCAACCACTGAGCAATAACATTAATTTTTTAAAACACCTTTTATTAAGAAAAGTTTCAAATGTACACAAAGAAAGACTAAAATAATAAAACACCCTTTTCTCCTTTACTCAGTTTCAATTTCTGGCTAACCCTAAACCCAGATAATTTTGGTGAAAGTATCAGAAGCATATTATTTAACTTGGAAAAATTGTAGTATATATCTTAAAAGGGCAAGCAGTCTTTGAAAAACATACCCAGGATAATAGTAATATACCTAAATAATAATGATTCCTTGATGATTTTAATTTTTAAACTTATTATTTTAAACTTTTGAAAATTTAATAACATAATTGAAACATTTGACATTAGATGAAATGAAGCAATTATATTTTCAAAGTTTTTTGTTTGTTTGTTTGTTTTTAGTTAGTATAGAGACTTGATATGTACCTGAATGATCAGAAGCCACTGGCACTTGGTCAATAATTTTCTAACATGATGGTACAAAAGTCCAGATACTCCAACCAGAAAAGGTCATTTAAATTAGATGGAGGGGTCTATTTTTCTCACTTAAAGAATTAACCACATAAAATTTCATGAAATAATATATTAAGTAATTGTTCACAGGAAAAGGAATGTTGGCTAAAAAGTTGGTTTGTTTCTAGGTTAAAGGCTGTGGAAAGCATAAGTTAATTTCCCTGTCATCTCACCCAGAGCAAGCTAAGTTTTATATTGCCAACCTATGAAAAAGTCAACGAGTCATAGCAGGGAGATTTTGCAAGTCAATCCCTACTCTGTTTGAGGGGACATACTGTAATCTAGTGAAAAAAAAAGTTTGTATTTTGACATTAGAAGAACCACTTAGTGAAGCTTTGTGCAAGGTATTTGACAATTGTTGTTCTTGTTATTCATGTGACATATGAAGCTAATAACATATTTAGACCATAAAGATAGAATGAATGTGTGTGGAGAAGTTTTGTGAATTTTAGGTGCTTTTTATCTATTTTGCCTAACAAATGCCTCCACAACCTTGTGTCTTCAAACAGTAATTTAGTGTCTTCACGGTTCTGTGGAGATTGGCTCAACCAGGAGGTTCCCACTTGGTGTTCTCTCATGTGATTGCGGTCAGGTGGCAGCTGGGCCGGAGGCATCAGAAAGTTAAAGAGGCTCTATGTGCAAGAGAGATTCTTCCCTCACATTCTGGCACCTCAGCTGGGAAGGCTGGCACAGCTGGGGGCTGGCCATGTGTCTGTCTCTCACCACCTAGCCATACCTAACGTTATCCTGGGCTTCCTCACAGCTTGATGGTTTCAGGGTAGACATGACATGACAGCAGGCTTCCCCTAGAATGAGTGTTCCAAAGGTGTCAGGGGAAGTGAAAACACTTCTTTTGACCTAGCCTCAGAAGTCACATGGTATCACTTCTACCTCATGCTAGTCAAAAGCTAGTTACAGGAAAGTCCAGATTCAAAGGGAGGAGCATACATATTGGGCAGCGGGGGTGGGTGGGGGGATGGGGTGTTAAGGATCATTGGGGACATCATTGGTGCTAACACAGTATTTTACTAATCTAATTACTTTATACACCCTTACTGTTTCCTCTCTATGACACAAAAGTTTTACATTTAATTTTTTTGTTTCTGGACAGGTTATCAAGGATCCTCCTCCTCCACCACCACCCTCTGCACCAGTAGAGGTAAATGAGTGCTTAATATGTGATGTCAGTGTTTTTCAGATATTATCTCCAAACTTGGCCAATTACATTATTATTTGATAACTATGATACCCATGTAATGACTTTTGAATTCATGAAAATTAAGTTATTGTTTGTCCTCTTATGATTTCTTGTATGTGCTAGACGAGATGAACAGTACATAGATTTAATTTACTTCTTATAGCAATATATCAATAGTTCTGATGTCACTTATTTTGTTTAAAAAAAGTTCGAAACTGCAAACTGGCAGTTCAAAGATGTTATTATTTTCCTCAAAATGATTAATACAGTAGTCTCCCTTATTCATGGTCTCTCTTCCTGTAGTTTCAGTTACCGGTGGTCAACTGTGGTCAGCTGAGGTCTGAAAATATTAAATGGAAAATTCCAGAAATAAACAATTAAAAATTTTAGTTTACATGTCAGTCTGAAGAGGGTGATGAAGTCCACACCATCCCATTCTGTCCTGCCAGGGATGCCTTTGTCCAATGGATCCCTGCTGTATACCTGCCTATTAGTAACGCAGTAGCTGTTTCGGTTACCAAACTATGTCTCAGTAGTGCAGTGCTTGTGTTCACATAACCCTTATTTTATTTAGTAATGGCCCCAAAGTGCGAGAGTAGTGATGTTGGCAGTTTGGATATGCCAAAGAGAAGCTGTAAAGTGCTTCCTTTATGTGAAAAGGTGAAAGTTCTTAATAAGAAAAGAAAAAAAAATGTTGAGGTTGCTAAGATCTACAGTAAGAACACCATGAAATTTCCTAATTTATAAATTAAACTATATCATCAGTATGTATGTATAGAAAAAAATCATATATATTAGGTTTGGTACTATCCACAGTTTCAGGCATCCAATGAAGGTTTGGTGGGGCGGGGATAAAAGCTAAAAGCGGGCTGTTGTACTTTAAATAACTGTTTGTTAGCCAAAAATGTGTTAGCAACATGAAATACAGGATGTACTGCCTTATGCATTTTTAAAGCTTCTCAACTACCTATCTTTTTAGTACAAACTTCACAGAACTCAAACATACACATACTTTGATGCTTTACATGGTTATTGAAGTGCTCTCCCAATTTTAATGTTTTATCTTTTTAAATATCAAGTGATGAATAGAAAAACAAAACAAAACAAATGATGCTCATAGCAACTTTTGGTAACTTAGTGAATAAAGGAGATTCCCTAAAATTGTGGGGAGGAAGGAGTCCTCCTGTGCTCTGGAACTCCAGGGGAAATTTATGCCGTAAGCATCCACACATCTACATGTCTCATGTATAACTTGTGCTGTGTTTCTTACACATGAATTGCATTATTCAGAAAAATGGCTCAGTGTGAATCAGTCCTGACTAAGCAATATTTTAAGAATGTAATTGAACCAATTTTTAAAAATTGTATCTAAATAGGAGGAAGAGGATCCTCTGCCAAACAAGAAATGGCCAACTGTGGATGCTTCCTATTATGGCGGTCGAGGGGTTGGAGGAATTAAAAGAATGGAGGTTGGTATCTTTAAAAAAATAGAAGCCACTAATTTGGAATATGAATTTCTGGAACTATGAAACCATGGAAACTGTACTTTTTATAATTCAATATAACAATACATCCATTTTTTTACTTAACACTGGGTCTTTTGCAGATATTCTTTTTCTATGGAATCATCTTAGCCATTTCAAAATTCTCTAAGAAGAACTAACTTCATTAGTCAAAGAACTGCATTGATACCATGTCTGAATTCTAAAGGGCAAAACAAAGTTAGGGTTTTTCTCACTATTTTGGAAAAAATTACTGCAGAGAACATCAATTTTAAAGAAGTCAGCCACTTAAAATTGCAACAATACTCATCTTTCAAAAGATCTAATAGCTATGTACTATTTGAGGAGAAAAATGTTAAAATATTCAATAGTATGGATATGACCTTATCACAAATGTAGAGGAAACACATGTAAGGCTTTATTTTAATACAGCTTTTAGTTACCACTTATGAACAATCATAATTAATACTAAACATCTTTTATTAGAATGCATTGAACTTTTTGACTGACTCAAATTGTGGAATGAACTGATGTTTAATATTATATTTTAAAAATTAAATGAGGTCTTCTTACCACCACATAAATATTCTTCAAAGTGATTAATCCTATCTAATAAAAGAGAAACATGGTAATTAGCCGTACATCCGCTACCCTTCCCATTGGCTAATCAGGGCGATATGCAAATTAACTGCCAGCCAAGATGGCGGCCGGCAGCCATGCACTGAAGCAAACAGGGAGGCTTGCTTGCTCCAGTGACGGCGGACTCCAACGTTCCCCGCCTGACTTGCCGGCCTCTCAGCTGCAACTCTAAGCAACTATGTTGCAAATATAGAAGCTAAACAAAACCCCAGAAACCTGCTTTAGTCAGCGGGCTTCAGCCAGCCGGACCGCAACACTGTATCAAATACAGAAGGTAAACAAAGGCCAGAAACCTGCTTTCAGCAGGCGAGGCCTCAGAGCTAAAGCTGGCCCAGAATAAAAAAAAGAAAAAGAAAAAAAGGAGCGGTTGGGAGCTTCAGTCACCCGCCAGCCTGAAAACGGCCCTCAGCCCCTCAGCCAGACTGGCCAGGCACCCCAGTGGGGACCCCCACCCTGATCCAGGACACCCTTCAGGGCAAATCAGCCAGCCCCCACCCATGCACCAGGCCTCTATTCTATATAGTAAAAGGGTAATATGCCTCCCGGCACCGGGATCAGCATGACGGGGGTAGCGCCCAAACCCCCTGATCACCCTGCGGCTCTGTGTGTGACAGGGGGAGGGGCCACAACCTCCCTATCCGCCCTGCTCTGTTCGTGAGAGGGGAATGTGCCCAACCCCCTGATCAGCCCTGCTCTGTGCCTGATAGGGGAGAGCTCCCCAACCCCCTGATCACCCTGCAGCTCTGTGTGTGACAGGGTGCAGCGCCTAACCCCCTGATTGGTCCTGCTCTGTGTGTGACAGGGTGCAGCACCCCAACCCCCTGATCGGCCCTGCTCTGTGTGTGACAGGGTGCGGCGCCCAACTCCCCCCCCCCCCCCCAACGGGCCCTGCTCTGTTTGTGACGGGGTAGAGCCATAACCTCCCCATCGGCCCTGCCCTGAGTGTGACAGTGGCGGCACCCCAACCCCCTGATCGGCCCTGCTCTGTGGGTGATAGAGGGCGGTGCCCCAACCCCCTGATCCGCCCTGCTCTGTGTGTGACAGCGGGCGGTGCCCCAACTCCCCTATCGGCCCTACTCTGTGAGTGACAGGGGGGAGCTCCTCAACTCCCTGATGGCCCTGCTCTGTGC